TTAGGCCAAAATTTTCCAAAAATAATTTTATTCTTTTTTTCAAAATTTCTTTTGATAAAAAAATATAATGTTTCTCATTTTTCTCGACGTTTCTATGGTAGCCACCATCATTTTCAAGAGATTACAAGATCTAGAAACATTATTTTGTATAATTTTAAGTTTAAATTTATAAAGAACAGTATAAAAACGTAAGAGTACCTCCGTTGTAAAGCATGTTTTTAAGTATAATTATAATTAAGAAACTGTATATACAGTTCTTTACTATAAAAATTGTCAAAATTTAATTCAAAAGATTAATACGAGAAATAACGGTCATTTGTGAATTTGAAATTTTTTTTATTATTTAATAAATTTGTTTAGTTAAAACTGTTTAAAACACCTTGATAAATTTTACTAATATTCTGAATGTCACTTTTAAAATTTATAGATTTTTTATAATGTTAATCATTTGTAGTAAACGTCTTTTATTTTCATTTTTATCAATATTTAAAATTTTTAACTTTATTGAAGTCAAAATTATGTTTATTATTTTTTACATGTAAAGATAAAGCTGTATTATTAATGTCGATATGTGTTCTTGTCGATCTTGCATGTTTATACATTCTTCTTTTTAAATATCGTTTTGATTCTCCGATGTAAACACAATTACACTGTTAAAAATGTTTGTAGTTTTAATATACATAAAGTACTTAAATTTAAGAAACTGGTATATTAGAGTGTAATTCATATACAAAGTATATTAAATTTTGTCACTGAAAAAAATTCAAATAAAAAAATTGCATTTTACTCAATTTATACATGTTCTTGTGTACAAAATAAGGTTTTTATTAATAAAGCAAAGTAATTTCTTTCATGTAAATACAAGTTTAAATCAATTTACATTGTAAAAATGCATATAATTTGACATTTATAGTACTTAACCTAAATGTCACATATAAGTATTAAAATTCTTGTATTTAGAATGTTTTTTTGAAAAATTCTCCCCTTATAAAACATTATTTGGACATAAACAACACAATAGTTAAAGAATTACGCACTGTTGTTTCAATTTCAAATAAATTTTCAATATCAAGGAAATAATGACCGTTTGGTGAAATAGGCATCTACAGCCGCCATGTTGTCACTTTAAATTTAATATACATGTATCTTAGATTTCAATACCTGTAGTGCATATTCGCTTCATACGCATGTATATTAAATCTAATACAGATTTTTCTAACAGTGTATATAGTGAAAACATGGAATTTAAAAAACTTCCAAAACATTTTTACCAAAAATTTTTTTCTAATATTTCTGAAATATTACATTGGAATATTTTTAAAGTCGGACATTGCAATGTTTCTGAAACATTATTGCAACATTTTATTAAAATATTTCTAATGTTGAAGTGAAACATTGTATCAATGTTGCTGCAATATTATGTTATGCGCGGGTTAAACAAATATTAAAAAAAATTTTTTTTAACATTTTAAAATATTTTTACTTGATAAATAACGTGGCTAAAGTTGATAAACAATAAATAAAAATATTTGTAACAAAATTGTTAATATGAAAAAAGTAGGAAGAAAGTATATTTTATATGTTTGGAGGTTAGAAGGAAATGAGTGAAAAGAGAATTGAAAATAGAATATCAGAAACACGAAGTAGTATAAGGAGACATCTCTCACCTATGACCGGCTCTAACGGAATGTAGCCCTGTTTTCTGTATTCACAGTTCTCAAGTTTTCACCAATCTAATTACACTTGCGCCTCTAGAAGGAAACCTCGGTATTAAAATCACGTGTTTACAGAATACAGTGTTTAATACCAAAATTTCCCGCGGTTGGCGCAAGTGTAATTAGATTGGTGAAAACTTAAGAACCGTGAATACCGAAAACGGGGCCATCTTTTATATACAACGATATGACTCCTTATACTACTTCGTGATCAGAAACAACGAATACAGTCGTTATAAATGATAGAATTAAAAAAATCAGTGCTGCCAAGTTAGTGGTTATCTCACTAAATTTAGTAAGATTTTGATCCTTCAGTAACATTTTTAGACGGGAGAAATATTTTAGTAGGAAATTTAGTATCTTCTTTCTTCCATAGTATGGATTTTTTTGGTGTTTTCATCTAAATATCGTTTTTCTTACGTAAATTGTATCTGAAGTATTTAAAGTACGGCCACTCTAATTATAAACTATTCAATTTAACTTTATTGTCTGTACTGATGGAGATTAATGAAATTTGAAGACCCATCCAATAAAAATTAGTCACGCAGTTCTATAAGAAAGAATGCTCTTCTACATTCCGAGCCCTGCACTGCTGTTTAGTACAGTTTATTCGTTAAATAATTTTTGTCAATTGAAGTTTCAAATATATTTGAGAATATTAAGTTTAAAACAATTTTTACTGAATTCTGATAAAAGAAAAATTAAAAATGCCGCCTACGCCATATTCAAAAAAATATGTACAAAGATATAAAATCTCTCGGAAAAAGTGAAAAAGAATTTAAATGTTTTTTTTTGTGTTTTTTATAGTTTCATATCTATAGTCCATGTTCTTAAGATCATAAATTTTATCTGGAATTATAATATTTAAATAAATGAAATTCCAACAAATGTTTATAATCATAATAATATATTTATTATATTGAACTATTAAATTTTATTAAACGATTCTTTAAGTTTAAATAATTTTTGCACAATTAGTGTAAAAATTAAAAATGTTGTGTTGAGATAAAGATTTTTACGTTTTTTTTTTCATTTATTTTTCTTGTGAAAATTAAGGGAAGAAATTTATTTTTAGTGGAAAATATCTATATAGGGATCTAGGGAGAAACGCGCCATAGTGATCTGACAACACTGAAAAAAATAGTATTTATTATAAATAAACGAAACAAAGTTTAAGGTATCAAGTACCTAAACTATCAACTATAACAAATAGTTAATAAAGATGTATTAAAAATTGATTACTTTTTATAAGTTGATAATATAATTTTTTACCGACAAGATTTTTATAAGCGCCCGCGTTCTGTAATACAATCGTGCTTCTAAAATTCAAAAAAATATATAAAAACTGTTGATTAAATTTATTTACAATTTAAAATTTTTGAAAAAATTTAATTTCTCTCATAACAAAAGGATATCCTTAGGATATCCATATCAATGGTCGATATCCTAGAATGGTCCCCAGGATATCTTGGGATATCCAAACCGCCAATTTGTGGGACATCAACAGGACATCCATAGGATATCCCTAAGACATCCACAAAATATCTATTAAATATTATATCGCAGGATATCCATGGGATATCCTCAGGATGTCCGTGGGATATCCTCAGGATGTCCGTGGGATATTCTTAGGATATTCACGGGATATTTAATATCTCAACATATATTTTTAAAGGTTAAAATTGTTAAGCTAATATAATGAATAATAATATAATAAAAAGAAAAATCTTATGAGCTTCTAATTTATTTTAAATGAAGATTTGAAACGCATTTTTCAAAGTTTTTAAATAAACTCATGCACTTAATGTATAATTAATATTAATAGTTATTCGTTATTTGCGGGGAAGAATTTATATTGTTTAAAGCCAATTTATTTTCTGCCATATTAAGCATATGAATAAAGGAATGAATCACGAATGAGAAAAAAATTAGTTAATAATTTGTCAAATTAAACAACTTTCTCGAAAAACAAGTTGCATTTTATTTTATTTATATAAAATTTAATTCACAGAATATTCTCACTCGTAGTCTCATAATGACTTTAAAAACAGTATCCTGAGAATATCTTCTTGACATCCGGAAGATATACTGAGAATATCCTGATGATATCTGTGGGATATCCTGACGATATCTATGGGATATCTGGAGGACATTTATGAAAGTCTATAGAGATATCCAGAAGATATCCTGTGGATATCCTCAGATATCCATGGGATATCCAAAGGATATCTAAACCGCCGATTTTTTGGATATCCTTAAGAGATCCTTTTGATATCCATAGGATATCCCTAGGATATCTGCGGGATATTATCAATATATCCCAAGATATCTTGTGTTATTAGGGTTTCTACTTAAAATTAAAATTAGTTTTGTTACACTCAATATTAAAAAATAAAAATCGCATTAAATTTTTAAAAATTATGAAATAATTTTTTCAAAAAGGTAGAAAAAACAACCATAATAAATTTAAATAAAGTGTGAAAAATTATGAATAAAAAATGTTGAGAAATTCAATTTTAAGTTTTATTATTGAAGGTATCAAGTTGATACCGAATTGGATCAAATTATGTTTTGATGCAAATATAACTTTATCAATTGTATCAATTCGTTGCAATTTGATACCTTCAAATTAACAGTGATTTCTATCTTTACACTGTAAAAAAACGTTCCACCGAGCACGAGCACACTTAAAAGAAGACTTTTTCGTATACTAGATCCTTTTTTATACAAAAACACTTAAATTTTGTTTATAATAAATATTTGCTCTTTAAATAGAAAACTATTTTTGAAAATACGAAACATGAAAACACTAGTAGAAGAAAGTAAAAAAAAATTCACGAGAAGTTGTAAACACCGAAATGCGCGAAATAATTATAAGCACGTGGTTTTTGATGTGAATCCACGTGTTGAGCATATACATATATAGCGAGACGAAAGAGATAGGGATAGAGAGAGAGAGAGAGAATTGTGACAAGAAGTAAGCGAGCGTGAAACGTCTGTCCAGCGAGACTGCAGAGCGGTAACTGCTAGCAAACGCTAGCATGGGCCCTATAGGCCTCACACTGTGGACACTCTGGTGCCTAGTCTGTTTGGTCCGTGAGCCCCACTCAGGACAACGGTCCCCCACTAGATTGGTACCAGGGACCAAATCCGCGTGGACCTCGGCCAACGAGACGGTGGCAGTAGGACCCGCCCTCGCACCCCACGCGCTAACCTCTCCTACCCCCCGCGTCACTGATGGTGAACAAGCGCTTGCACTGAACCCCACCCCACGGACACTCGCCGTGGGTCAGAGGCTGATGAGTCACTATATAAGACAGGCAAGGACAAGAAGGTGTATGTTAGTGTACACTCCATTCTCTCGTGGCTCGCACACGCGGCAGTGGATGGAGAATTTTTGGCGAGTTGTGACAGAATTCGTAACTCATTGCATTTTATTCGCGCGCCGCAATACCTAACCGGCGCGTTGTGGTTTTTAGACTTAAAAAAAAAAAAAACTTGAACTAAAAAAATTTCTTTCTTCACATTTTCGATAGATAAAAAAAAAGGGGTGCAAAAATGTTCGCGAAGTGTGTCATCCAGTGGTTGTCGCAAATTGGTGGTGCCGATGCCCTTTCAACCCTTTTGGTATTCCTTGGTGTATTGGGAGTGGTGCGAATTTTACAGTGGATCAAAACAATTCGATCCCTACCACCTGGACCATGGGGGGTTCCCATTCTTGGTTATCTACCCTTTCTCAAGGGAAAAGCTGTTCATCTTCATTATGCCGAATTGGCCAAGAAGTACGGCTCAATGTTCAGCGCCAAACTTGGAACACACCTTGTTGTCGTTCTCAGTGATTATCGTGCCATTCGCGAAACTTTTCGCCGAGAGGAGTTCACAGGCAGACCACACACTGAATTCAACAACATCCTCGGTGGATACGGTAAGTTTAGAGATATAATCTTTTTTATTAATCGGCGCGCGCGAACTGCGATAGCACTCCATAGGTCGGGGGGTTCAATTATTGTCGCGTGTCTTCATTCTCATCATCGCTTGCAAAAAATTTTGGTTCTCAAAACTTTCATTTTAAATTATACAATTTGTTCACAAAAGAATTTTCTTTTTTCAACTGTCTACGAATTAGTACGAATTGGTATTGTACTAATTTATATTTTATTTTGTAATTCAAATTACTCGGAATTTTCACTAATTTTTAGTTTACTATTTTAATTTATTTTAATTACTTTTTTCGTTATATTCGATTTGATTTTTTTATTTATTATCAAATCATTATTTTATTAAATTAAATTTTTTTAATAAAACGTTTTATAAAAATTTGATATTTTTCATTTTCTTTAAATTAAAAAAAAAATTTAGGAACTATAAAAAATATATAATTCTCTTGATATTGTTACGATCGTCAATTTTATCATCAAGAAAATTTTATGTTAATAACTTTTCAGTAAATTTTCAATTTTTTTATTTTAATTTATTTATACTTATTACTGTTTTTAAAAAAAAATTATTATTTTCATTTATTTATTATTTAGTTATTAATTTTTTTTATGAAAAAATAGTTTTATATCTGAGTGTAACGAATGACTTAAAATAAATTTTTCAGTTTCTGAAGAGAACGGCAGTGCCGTCGAGACTTTAAAAAGTTGAATTTTTTAAATTAATTTTCACCAAAAAATATGACTCGAAGAAATTGATAATTTCATATAAAATATAATTAATACTACGGAGTAATAAATTCTTCAGAAATAAAAAAATATTTGTGAAATGAACAAAAATTTATTTGATTAATAAAATAAATCCTAATTAATAATTAAGTATATTTAATTAATATTATTTTGATTTAGATAACAAATGCAAAATTGAAAATTAAATTAAATTTTTATTAAATTAATTTTTCTTCGAACTACATTATAATTACAACAAATTACAGTACATATAAGAACAGAAAACATATTTTTTCAACCACAATGCAATCACTGATTGTGTATAAATAAAAAATATTTTATAAAAAATTATAAAAAAAAATGCTTTAGTAATCAAAAGTTAATCTCGTATGTTAAGAATAATATAAATGTAAAAAATGAATTTTTTTCATGGAATTTTTTTTTAATAACGCTACAAAAATGTGAGTAATGTAAATATTTTTAAATTACATTACACCTTTTATTTATTGACATTATTTATTTATTATAAATAATATACAAAAAAAAATCTTAGTGCTGTAATATATTTTTTAGCTGTAGCACATTCTCATATTTTCTCATATAAAATCTGAAAATTGGAGAAAGTAATCTTCAACTGTGCCATTGCAACATAAGTTTTAATAACTAGTGATAATTTAAAAAAAAAATTTTTTACTAATTTTTAAATTTATTTATATAATTTTCGGTATAACTTTTGTTTTCTTATGATTTTTAAATATTACTTATACACTTAAAAATAAAGAATTTAAATAAATATATTAAAAAAAATTTTGAATTGTATTATAAAATATTTTTTTTTTGTTTCAGGTATTATTAATACCCAGGGTGCTTTGTGGAAAGATCAAAGAAAATTCCTTCATGAAAAATTGCGAAGCATGGGAATGACTTATTTGGGTGCAGGAAAAAAGATAATGGAGTCTAAAATTATGGTAAGAAAAATCTTATTCTTATTATAATAACAATAATAATAATAATAATTAATAATAAAAGATATTATATTCTAAATATACAGACTGATTTTAATGTTCCGGACCCCCTAAAAATTTTGTTTAAATTCAACTTTTTTTTGTTTAAAAACGAAAAAAATGAGATTAAAAAAAAATTTTAAGGAGTAAGGAACATAAAAATCACCCTGTATTTATAATATTATTAATAAAATAATTTTATTAATAATTTGTTTTAAAAATGACGTCAGTATATATTAAATTAATAAAATGATGTTGACCAAAAATTAGAAAAATTTCTATAATTATACCAAAAAGAAATAAATAAAAATAATAATAATAATAATATAATAATAATAATAATGTGAATAAAAAAATGTTATTCCGCAATTATTTGTAATTTATTTTATTTAAATATTACATGAATTATTGAATTTAATCAATAATAGAAATGAAATTTATAATTAAACTGATTTTTCCCAAACGTTGATGCAATTTTTTTTCCAACCGCAAAAGATTATCGCATGAGATATATTTTTTTTTTATCAAGAAATAAATTTTTTACAGCAAGAAGTGGATTCTTTTATCAAAGGATTGACATTGAGACGAGGTGTACCAACAAATATGTCTTATTCTTTGAGCATGGCCATCAGCAATGTTATCTGTTCAATTACCATGGGGGTACGCTTTCACCATGGTGATTCAAGATACAAAAAATTCATGTCTCTCACTGAAGAAGGTTTCAAACTTTTTGGTAGTATTGTTTATGTGAATTTTCTACCTATTTTGAAATATCTTCCTGGACTGAAATACGTGATGAGTAAACTCGATCAAAATAGAGGTGAGATGGCGAATTTTTTTCAAGACAATGTGGAGCAACATAGAAATACTTTCGACGCGGGCAATATCAGAGATCTTGTCGATGCATATCTTTTAGAGATTGAGAAAGCCAAGGATGAGGGACGCGAACTCTTTCAAGGAAAAAATCACGGTATGTACGATTGGGATTTTCATTGCAAATTTTCTAATAGAAAAAAAAGAGGAAAACTTGATGATGTCAGAAATGTTGTCACCTTCTTGATGTGGGTGTAATTTAATTTGAAAAATCATAATTGATTAATTCGAATAGGAAATGTTTTGCATAAAACCTTCTCGAGTTAAATATAAATGTGAACATATAAATTGTTGAAAATTAGATCTAGAGGAGTTTCAAATTTTTTTCTTTTTAATTTTGATTTCGTAAAAATGAAACAATTGAGTAATGAATTTTTTTTTTTTCCCACGCAGACCGTCAGTTGCAACAGATCTTAGGAGATCTCTTCACAGCTGGAATGGAGACGGTGAAAACAACATTGGAGTGGGCTGTGGTTCTCATGTTGCACCATCCAGAGGCAGCACGTGCAGTTCAGGAGGAGTTGGACCAAGTTGTGGGAAGGTCGAGGATGCCAACCCTTGAAGATCTTCCTTACCTTCCACTCACTGAAGCTACCATTTTGGAAATTTTAAGGAGGTCCAGCATCGTCCCCATGGGAACAACTCACGCCGCCACTAGGTGAGTTTCATATTTTATATTTATTGAGAATCAAAAAGTCGTTCTCTTGAAGCGAGAATCCTAAATCTTTTTTTTTAAAAAAAAGGCCTGCTGCACTTTCATCTACATAACTATACACAGAGTTCGGTAGGATCGCAATGAGTAGGTCTCGTGCGGACAGTCAACGGTGGTTCGGTGAGCAAAAGTGAAAGCAATATTGGCACCGCCACTTTTCGGGCCGGACTCACCTTCGATTTCGAGGTCGATGACACCTCCTCCTTCCCCCTTTTTGTAACAAAGAAACGTTTTCCTCACAAACTGGTACACACGCATGATTCGACGATCAACATTTAGCGAAATACGTATATAGAAGGAATCGGGACCGTAGAAACTGTATTCTTCGTGTCAGCCGAGCTCTCGCCTTGCAGAACGGTTTTCACCTCTTCTTTTCGCTACGGAATCGTGCGAGAAAGAGCGTGACGGTAGCACGTGCGCAGGAAAAAAAGCTGTTCTGTCAACTCGACCTAATCGCTATCAGCCAAAAGCCGTCTCTCGCGGACATTTATTAGCTCCACTTTTTTGTTTTCTTTTTTTATCCTTTTTTTAATTATTTTACAAATACCCGAAAAAAAAGTTTTATCCATTAGAATTTATATCAATTATAAAAGTCGGGAAAATAGTATTTGGCCTCTACATTTTCTCGCGTTATTCCCATTTTTTTTTTTTTTTTTTTATTAACAGAGAAAAAGAATATAATTATTGAAAATTTTTATTATCTCCCTCAACACACTTGAGAAACTTAAAACTTTTAAGAAAAAAACAAAACGAGTTAAAAATTGTAAACTACGGTTTTGACAAAAAAATAAACAGATTTTTTTTTATTAAAATTGTCACGAAGCTTACAGGAAAAGTTAGTTATTTTCTTTTATTTTGCGCAAACAGAAGAAACTCACAATTCAATATTAACTTGATGTATGTTAATGTAAATATAAAAGCAGGTTTCTTTTTTAATTGCTAGCAACTCCGACGGCCGCCAGCAAACTTCTGTTCTATTTTCAATTTCCTTTTTATTTTTAATCTTTATAATATAATTTTTTTTCTGCTCTTTTTATATATTATATATATTTTCTTTTATCAATTTTGGTATAATTATTATTTATCTGACTCAGATGATTTTTTTTTAATCTTGAAATATAATAAGTATTAAAAATAAATGGGTGAATCCACGTGAAATTTATCTATGACATTTTCAATTTGGACAAATATATTTTTTTTCGTTCTTTGCAGAAATTTTTTGCAAAATGTTCTTAGTATTTCCAAATATGTAAAAATAAAGAAAAAAGTGACAAAAAAAATCATGCCCAAAGTTAAAGAAATTAATTTGTTTATAAAAAATCGTTTTTTTTTTATTTAGAAATTAAAAATTTGTTTTTTTCGTTAATTTATTTTTGAAAGTCAATGAAAAGCAGAAACTTGTCTTTCTCCTGGTAAGAATTCCTAAATTTATTACTTTTAGAGTTAGATGTCACTGAAATTAGGTCTACTTTTAAAAAACATGAAAAATAAAGATTTCATAACTCAAAAATTTGGGCTTTTATAAAAAAAATACGGATACCTTTTTTCTGCAATTTTAAATGTCATAGGTAAATCTCACGTGGAATCTTCTAAATATTACTAAAAATAAATAAGTAGTTTAATTCCATTAATTTTATTTTACATTTTTTTAATTTTATTTTTATTGTTAAATTATTAAATTTCCATTTAGATTTTTTATCACTATCAATTTTATAAATTAAAATTTAAGTTCTGGAAACTTTCTTATTAGAATTCTAATAATAAAAACCCACATGAAAAAATCATCAAACTAAGATTTCTATCTTTAAAAAGAAAATTTTTTTATTTTCAAGAAAGTTAGGAAAAGAAATTTAAAAAAAAAAATTCTAATTAGAAGAACCTATCATTTTTTGTTTTTACTATTAACTATTTTTGAGTTTTATTAAATAATGTTGAATAACAAAAATTATTAAAGAACGATTTTAAGAAAAAGCAAACCAATATTCTTAATAAAGATTTTTTTTAGGAAATATTTTTTAAATTTATTTGAATATTTATTAATATTTAAAAACTTTATTAAGTGGAATTGATATTATTTTGAATAAGCGCGCTAGTTCAAGCAAATCAGATCAGTCCACGGAAAAAATTTTAGAACATTTTATATGCTGGTATGGAAATAAAATTGGTTCCACAATAGGCAAAAATAGGTTTTGTTATGAAAATCATCTTAGAGACGATAGGTTGGGTGCCATTGTCCCCACTCGCCAATTGTCATAATTCTTGTCAACTACTGCACTCTGCTCTAGTGAAAGTTTAGTGACTTTATTATTAAAATTAAAAGTTACTATAAAGTCACTAAATTTTCACTAGAGCAGAGTGCGGTAGTTGACGAGAATTAGGACAAATGGCGAATGGGGACAATGGAAACCAATCGTCCTGGTGTTTTTGGAAGATCAGCACGGCACATTTTTACATTTGAGATTTTTCGTTCCAGTTTTTTTTAAAAGGATTCTTGTTTCTATAAAAGGTGTAGCATAAACTTTTTATGTTACAGAAGTTTAATTGTGTTTTTCTATTTTCTGTCAATAGAGACGTGACGATGAACGGCTTCACGATTCCAACTGGTGCGCACGTGGTACCACTTTTGCATGCAGTGCACATGGATCCAGAATTATGGGACGAACCAGCTGAATTTCGACCTGAACGTTTTCTGTCCGCTGAGGGCAAGGTCTGCAAACCAGAGTATTTCATTCCATTTGGAGTTGGAAGACGTATGTGTTTGGGCGACGTTTTGGCACGAATGGAACTCTTCCTCTTTTTTAGCTCGCTTCTTCATACTTTTGATATTACGTTACCAGATGGTGCGTCGTTACCTAGTCTTCAAGGAAATGTTGGTATCACTGTGACGCCGGATCCTTTTGAGGTTTGCCTTTTGCAAAGAATTCTTAATAAAGATTGCGTAGGAGGATTCGCTGCTGATGGCACCAGTACTGGGCCACTCAGAAACGTTGGCAGTCATTAAAAAAAAAAAAAAAATATTGACACGTTAGAGCACGGTTTCCGTTCCTATCACTTTGACGAGGAGGATGAGTTGAGTTCAATATTAAAAGAAATGTGCAGATAGAAATTGACAATTAGGTGAAGAGTGTGCCATTTCGGAAATAATGAAATGCAGCTTTAACGGCGTTTTGGTAGCTAAAATGGTGATACTTGATTATAAGGATTTGTGGAATGCAAAGAAGTTGGTGACTGATGAAGATAAAAGAAGAGATACCTCCTCAATTATTTGCGGAATAAAAGTACAAATTGGAGCCTTGGATCGTAACCCCGCTCATAAATAAATATATATATTCAACCCGCCGCCATTTCACATATTTATTTGTAATGTTGATTTACTATTTATTTGCCTTTAGTTACCGATTCCTAGGACCTGGAAACGGATCCAAAATCCTTCGAAAGTCAATGTTGTAATATTAACAATTAGAAGGAGAAAACTAAAGATTATTTTACAAGACTGGATAACAATATTTGTTTGAGAAAAGAATTTTTGGATCAGTGCCCGTTATATTTAGTTAGAAGAGGCATAACTGTGAGACGACATTTTTACTCTGTTTTATTAGTTTTTTCAACGTTCTTTTACATTAAATTTTATTCGATTATTGACGAATCGAAGCGCTAAGAGACGCCTTCTTTTTCATGCATCCACTGTAAATATTTTATGTGAGTGTTTGAGATCATATTGTAATTAAGCATGTGTGAATGTGTAATTGATTGTTATAAAAGATTAATTTATATTGATCGACGAATGATCATTCGTGGGAGTCAAGGATATTGCCGGATATATATCGACGAGATTGTTACCGGTTAAAATCTTTGATCGGATTTTCTAGTCCGGAATGTTTTACTTATTTGTGCGATAGTTGATGAGTAAATGATAAATAATTTTTATATGTGTGAACATTTCATATTTGCGATTGATTGATAGTTACATTTATGTATATATATAAAAGCGCTCATATTAAATGGGCCCTGTGTTCACTCATCGACCGTGATTTATGTATATTTTTGGCGTAATTTAATATCTTTTGATACGAAAATAAAAAATTGTTTTTGAAAAATTGACTTTTCTTTAATTCTTTCCTTATAAATATACTTTTAACCCTCAGAGAACTAACTATAAAAAAAGTTGAATTCAATACAAACTGGGTTCTTTTTGATGAAAATGATGAATAAAACATGAATAAAAATTGTTTGAAAAAATTTTTTTATTCTATTAAAATTATGAATTTATAAAATTAGTGCATGTTTGCGAATTTTTTACGTAAAATAAAACAGGCCTATGATTATACAACTTCTTTCGAATTATTTTAATAAAATGCAATTTTTTCGACTTAAAATTTTAAAAAATCAACAAATAAAATTACCACAAATTTAAATTCAAAATCACTTAAAATTCAATTGATTTCAAAAATTTTAATTTAAAACCTTCTAAAATTCAATTATTAATAGTTATTAATAGTTATAAATAAATACTCTAAAATTGAATTTTTTGTCAGAAATTAAACAAAGAATTACCAAAAAAATGTAATATTTTTTTAACCATTAAAACTAAAAACTATGCAAAAATTTTAAATTTGAATAAATTGCTTAAATTAAACTTCAAAAAATTTTAAAATGGAACTTTAAGAATTTTTTTTTAGAAATTTGTCCTACTTAACTAAAATTTTGGAAAATCATGTTAGTTTCATTCTGAAATATTCGAAATAAATTTTCTTAATAATATTCATATTTAGGAATTAATAAAATGAATTTAATATCTAATAATATGAATTATTTAAAGTAAACTATTTATTAACTAATTAAATTTAATTAAAATAAAAAATCGACCATTGATAGACATTTTTTAAAGACACTTATTAAAAAAAGTCATTTTGCGGTGAACCGCATAACTAATAACAGGATCATCTAAAATTTTAAATCTTAAAAGATTTTTTTAGTATATATAAGTTTTTTAGGTAACTTTGCAGAGTTTTTTTATTTTAACGATTTTTAAGTTTTTAGTAGCTTTTAGTTCCTTTACGAAGAAAATTTTTTTAAATTAATCAGAATCACTTAAAACATGTTACTCATTGGTTTTCAGGGTCATTTATTACGAATCTGATTTAATTTTTTATAATTCAAAATGTCGGATCAAATGTGTAGAACCTTTTCTAAGTTATTTAGATTTGCCCAAAACTTGTACTTGTGGGTATTTGGGGCCACTTATGACAAATCTGATATATTTTTAATCAGTGGTCCATAAACTTTCTAAGTAACAAGTTTCAATCGAATCCGACCAATTTTGCTTCCTCGTGGAGGAAGCTATGTAGTCCTTTCGTTTATAAACTTTTTAAAAATGGTGAAAACAAATTTTCCTCTATATAGAAACATGTTATATGAGATCCTGATCAATTGTCCGGATGTATGTATGTGTGTGTGTATGTGTGTGTGTGTGTGTGTGTGTGTGTATGTGTGTGTGGATCGTTTTTGTGAACACGATATCTTTAACAGGTTTTAATGGATTTAAATAAAATTTGGTAGGCTTATTTAACACATTAATCTCTCAAAAATGACGAAAGGATTTTTAAAAATACCCAAAAAAAAAAATTTTATCGTCTTTTTTCCAAAAATTTTTTTTTAATTGAAAAATTTTTTAAATCGAAAAATTTAAGGTAATATATAATATAATCGTCTTCTTTATGTCAAGATGAATCGATTGATATATATAAAGTATACATTTGATTGAAATTTAAAGAATTAATGAAAGTTAAAAAATCAAAAATTCTCATTTTAGCTAAAAAATGATGTGTTTATTTAAATTCATGTTTATAAATGAAATAATTTTATTCCCTGCATTGAAACGAATTGGTTGGTATATATAAAGTATAGATTTGATTTAAAATTTGAGAATTAATAAAAATTGAAAAATCGAAAATTCATATTTTAGCTAAAAAATTTTGTGTTTTTTTTAAATTCAAGTTGATGAATAAAATAATTGTATTCCTTGCATTAAAACGAATCGATTCGTATATATAAAGTTTATGTTCACTCAAAATTAATTAAAATTTTCTTTATTTTTCAAAAAATTTAATTAATTTAAAACATTTTTAACTCGAAATTTTTTAAATCAATCAATTGAATTGGACAAATTCATTGCTTCCTTCACGAGGAAGCGAATTTTTTGCTTCACACAATGAGGAAGCATAATGTTTATGAAATAAACATAAAGGACCCCCTCCTTGTTTTTTTAATTTCCCACTATTTTGCTTCTGCCATTTTTCATTTTGAAAAACTTGATGTCAAATTTGTAGTCAGCAGCCCCAAAAAGTCGGAGTAACTTTAAGAAAATAAAGTTTATTTCATAAAGAAAGTAAATAATCTTACATGAAAAAATATTAGGAAATGATATTATAGAAAACTTAGCGCATGTTGTCAAATCGCTTTAACATGAATCAACCTATAAGTAAATTGGGTCCTCAATAGGAAGGAGCACGATACCTTCAAAGAGGTCGAAAGATTTAGTAGGTAAATAAATCCTAAGCTTCTTTAATGCCTGGTCAGACGTAATAATTTATTTTCAATATTTAATCATTGTCTTTGTAATTTTTTATGCATTATTACAATAATATGGTTTAGCTAATCAGATCGTAAATAATTTAAAGTTTTTTAAAATTTGTTATTGTATAATTTTTTAATTTGTTTTTAATAAAAAAGTGATTGTGTTTTTTCAATAAATAGTGGCCTGAAGAGGTCGGCAAACTCTGACCGATGAACCGCCCGGCTGAAAAAACTTGTACAATTTCTTGTACATGTTCATTAATGAACTTGTACATTTTCTTGTACATATTCAAGTAATGTTCTTGAACAAGTTCAGCATCCGGAATTGAGACATGTTCTTGTACCAGAACTTGTACAAGATCCTGTATAAGAAAATATACTTGTACAAGAAAATTTACATGTTCTTGTACATATTTTTTTGTGCAGGTGTCATGTACAAGTACATTTACATGAATACGTTTATGTTCTTGTACAAGAACATTTGTTTAAAAATGTTTTTAAAAAAAAATTTGAAATTTTAATAAGTTATAATTATTAAGACTCTTCACTTATGTATGCTAAAAATTATTGCGCAGCTGTAAAGGCTTAAGAAAACTACTGTGCAGCCTTTAAAGTTTTTAATTTTTAATTTAAAAAACATAAATTAACATGTACAAGAACATGTTCCACATCTGGTACAAGAAAATGTACATGCAACCTGCACAAAAACATGTACATTTTCTTGTACAAGCATATTTTCTTGTCCAGGATCTTGTACAAGTTCTGGTACAAGAACATGTCTCAATTCCGAATGCTGAACTTGTTCAAGAACAGTACTTGAACATGTACAAGTTCATTAATGAACATGTACAAGAACCTATACATTTTCTTGTACAAGTTTTTTCAGCCGGCGTCGCCTTATGACGAAAAAATTGAATAATTTATTTTATTGATCTTCCTTTAATCATTTATATAAAAAAGTTTCGAATATGCCCACCTCTGAATTTAATAAAACTTGGTTTATCTTGCGTATTTCGGTAGGGTAAGTCCGGGGGAGTTGGCCTTAGTTTTTTTAAAGGCCTGTAAAAATAAGAAGAAAGTGATTTATGTATTAACTTTTATTGCTAATTAAGCATTGAACAATTAACTTACAAATAATATTTCCATTGATTTTTTCGCAACTGATAATCTTGCCGAATGGTTAACACAACCATGGATCAGCAATGATAATATAGATGACGATTAGTAGATTTGTGGTTTTTTCGATATTATTTTAAGATTTGTTACCATAAAGATTTACCTACTTTTATTTTATACGATAATTTTCAGATATTCATGGCATAAATATTTTAATTCTACCATACATTGTATTTTTAGCTATAGTGATCGATAATTTAAGATTTGTTGCCAAAAAGATTTATGTATTTTTAGTTTGTAGAGTAATTTGAAATATTTTTACCAAAAATATCTTCACGATACCAAAAAATAATGGTATTTAGTTGGTAAACGTTATTCTAAGATGTGTTACCAATGTGATTGTTATGTGATTCAACCAAAAATGTTATTTTGCTTAGCAAAATTTTAAGTTTACTAGCAGTAAACTTGAAAATTATTTTTATAATTAAAAGAAACAGTGACTAAATGTTTTCTAATAACTATTAAATATCTATTTATTTACCATTTTAAAATAAGAAACATACAAACAAAAAATTTTCACCAAAAAAAGTCCACGTGGACATTTAGGGGTGGGGGGGTTCGTCAAAAGTCCACAATTGTCCACGAGGGGGGGTCAAAAAGTGATGAAAAATTGTCCACGTGGTATCTGGACGGCCCCTAATAGAAATGATAAATTTATTAAATATAAACAATCTTAAAATTAATATTTTTTTAAAAACACGTTTGGCCATCTCTCCTGGAATGTACGGGGGGAGGGGGGCCATAGGCGTACGGGAGAGATGGTCAATACTTTAAAATCATTTTTTGGCTTTTCGCTTTATTAGAATTCTTTATTTAAAGTGATTAATGTCTTCTTTTCTTCTTCTGACCACATTTCGAACATTTATCATTAAATTCAGTGCAATTTTCATGAAGCCAAAGGTGACAATCATTGCACTGAATCCAGTCTTCGATAAGCGCTCTCTGTTTGTCTGTCTCAACAACACAACAAGTCTACAAGGTATTTTTTTGAGATATCAGAGTGGTTTCCAATTTATTTTTGAGTCCTGAACACGATCCTGGGTTACAAAATTGCGTATCACATCAGGATTTTGAGTAAAGTGGGGGTAAAGTCTCCAAAACCCGTGTTTTTGAGGGTTTTCAGTATTTTTTTTCACCTTAACCTGACGTGATAGTGACTTCTATATAGGCTTAAATTAAAGCTTATATCTTACACTTTAAGACTAATATGCGCAAGGAAAAAAATTTGAAATTTAAAAAAAAATAGGTTCAAGTCATCTAAAAAGATTTTTGGGGTATTTACCCCCATTTTTTTCAAAATTTCAAATTTTTTTTTAATCCTGCGTAAATGAGTCTTAAAGTGTACGATCTAAGCTTTAATTTAAGCATATATAGAAGTGTCTAGCACATCTGGTTAAGGAATAAAAAAATAATGAAAACCCTCAAAAACACTGTTTTTAGAGACTTTACCTCCACTTTATTCAAAATCCTGATGTGATACGCAATTTTGGAACCCGGAATCGGGTTCAGCACACAAAAATACATTGGAAACCACTCCGCTATATATATAAAAAAGTCCTATTTTGTAGACCTGTGTTATGATTGTTTATAGACGTTTTTAAGATTTAATTATACAATAGTCAAAATAACAAATCAGTTTTTTACTTACTTTTTCAATATTTTTCGTAAAGTTTTTTCTTTTAATTGTGTTTTGCCACAAAACAAAGCGAACTAATCTTTAATAAGCGATACCTAGCAGCAAATTCTATAAAATATTTGAATTGTCCATCTCTCCCGCGTGGCCAACTCCCCCGGACTTACCCTATGCTAATTACGAAAATAATAGCGAAAATTAGCTGAATTTCTTCTTCTGATGCTTATCATGATGAAAAGCTAAAAAACCAAAATGACTATAATTTTCTGAATTTTTCACAGTAAATATACAATATTTTAAAAAATGCTTCCATCAAAAGTTGTAGATCTCATTAAAATACACGGATTATTATTTTTCGAGAATAATGCAAAAAATACTAAACTACCATGACAAAAACCTTAGGGACCATACAACTATAATGTCTATTTTAATTAGCTGCTCCGAAAACCCTCTAGCAACAAAGTTTCATATAAATTCGTAAAATTTTTTATTTTTTCGTCCGCCATTTCGGATCCACCATTTCGAATTTTAAAATTATTACAAATATCGTATCAGGTTCGTCATCAGCGACCCCGAAAATCCCCTAGCAACAAGGTTCATGTAAAGCCAATTAATTTTTAACATTTTTGTCAGCCATATTGGATCCGACATTTTGAAATATTGAAAACCAACATCGGATTCGTAATTTTCGATCTCGAAAACCTCCGACTAGTGATTTGTAAGATTATCTTCGCTTTCTAAATTCATTTTTTTAATCATATTAAATTTTTTTCACTATGTAATGTGTCTTTCCGCGAAAATTATTTTTTAAAAATAGTTCCATGTTTTTTCCGACTTAAAACTAATGAGCACGTAAGCTTCAAATGTCCCACCTGACCCAAGCTTGTATGGTAAGCTTACCGAAAGATTGCAGTGTAAGGTTACTGCAAAATTGCGATGTAAGGTTACTGCAAGATTGCACAATAAGATTATCGCAAGATTGCTCAGTAAGCTTGCACGGTAAGCTTGTAGCAAGGTTAGTGCAAGATTTCCAAATAACCTTACTTTGAAACTAAAAAAAATTTTGTTTAAAATGTTTCGTTTAATTTATATAATAAAATTTATATATTAAAAATATATAAATTAGACGAAAAATTAAAAAAAAAAAATTTTTTACTTTCAAAGAAAGGTTATTGGGCAACCATGCACCAACTTACTGAGCTTACTGAGCAATCTTGTGATAATCTTTTTGTGCAATCTCGCAGTAACCTTACACACGGAAAGAAATAGTTCAGGAAAAAGTCCTGAAATAGTTTAATAACTCTGGATAAGGCGTTCATTTTAAGAGATTTTCATGAATATTCAATAGAAAGTCCTAAAAAGTTCAGGAAAATCTCAAAATAATTCAGTACTTTCTCAAAATAAATTAAATAGTTTCTTCTGAAAAGTTCGCAAGATCTTATAAAATTACATTCCTAAATTTCCATTTTGCTCGCCATGAAAAAGTCAGGGATTGATAATGAGAAAAAATAAATTATTCTATTGGTGCACGGAGAAAAAGAAAAAGTAATTTTTACTACTTTCAGAGTAAAACTGGACCAACTCGAAGTTTCTGCGCATCTCTGACAATTTTTACTCCAAAAATAGTAAAATTTATTATTTCTGTAGTAAATTTTACTGTTTCCGTAGTAAGTTTTACTATTTCTAGAGTAAATTTTACTATTTTTGGAGTAAAAATTGCCAGAGATGCGCAAAAACTTCGAGTTGGTCCAGTTTTACTCTGAAAGTAGTAAAAGTTACTTTATAAAAGAAATCTTTTTTCTCCGTGTGGAAATTCGTAAATTTAAATATGCGCGCTAATCTGAACCAATAAGATAATTCTTTGAATACTTTTACATAGAGGATTTTATTAAGTAGTTGCTTAGGTTAGGGGATGCGCATCGGATTTCTGTACCGGAGACGAGAGTTCTAATCCGCCTGCTGTCAAATTTTCTCTAAAATTGATTTTCTGTTTCAGATTCTTAATAAAAATTGTTTCATGTGTGTGTTATATTAATAATATATTGTTTGTATTTGTTCGCTATGTATAAATTGTAAAGTGTAACGTAAATTATGTCTATATGTGTGTTTTAAAATAAGTGTGAGTGATGAAAGGAGAAACAAAATAAAAATTTTTTCGTCTTCCTTAGCTAAGAATTTTCCTGAAATAGTTCAGGAATTTTTCATGTGGGGCTTCATGAGAAAGTCGTGTGGTAACTCATCAATAAGTAAGGAAGTATTTCTTTAACATTTCTAGAATGAACTAAGCAAATTCTCATTTGATTTATTTTTGAATTTTTAGTTTTTTAATTCAGCAGAAAGTGATGAAATATTTAAGACTATATCCAAAATATTTTATTACTTATTCAAAACAGATAAGTTTGAAAATATACTGAAATGGTCGCGATATCCAGAGTTACAAAACTGAGTTCAGGACTTTTTCCTGAACTATTTTTTTCCGTGCACCGCAATTTTGCGGTTTTTTTGTCTACCAGCCTCATATAATAATCAAAATTCTGTAAGTTTCAATATTGAGTCCACTTCACAAAATTATGGAGTACTGGTTAGTCGCAATTCAACTTATAATACAGAAAATACTAATGAATGTTACAATTCGGAACAAGAACAGCTGTAACAGTTATAACAGCGTCAACAGCAACAGCCACAACAACAGCAACGTTGTTCAGAGAGACAAGTTCCTTCTGATTGTTCCAACCCGGAATAAAAACAGCTACAACATCAACTGCAACAACAGTTACAACAGCGTCAACAGCCACAACAACATTAGCAACGTTATTCAGAGAAATAATAAATCAAAACCTACATTTATTGAAATAGTAAAGAAACCATTTGATTTTTTGCTTTTAGATGAAACCGTTCAGAGATATCGTGCACACCGTAAAAAAGTGGTGCAATTTAACCTGTGATTTCTCGGCCAAAAACCTCTAAAAATACACAAAAATAGTTTTTTTTATTAAAATTTAATATGTATATTTAAATGTACGAAGAGATAAAAAAGTTTAAAATAAAAATTGATGAAAAAAGGTCGTTTGTATGAGACAGCCCCCTTAATTTCTTAAATTTTATGTCTCGTATTTTGAATTTTTGAAAACTGACTAACATCTTACATAACTGTATTATAAATTTGGAAATTCTTTTTTTTTTATTTTAAATAATTTCAAGTAAGAATTTTCAAATCCTCAATCACCAATTTACGTATAGTATTAATTGGGACTATTTCGGGAGAACGTCTCTTATCAGTGATAGTTTTCTTATTATTTAATTTATTTTTCACCTAATGCTATATTATATTTCACTTTTAACACAATATTAAAATTAAATTTCTCTCCGTGTTGTAGATACAATGATTACATTTCGGTCTAGCAGCTGCTTAAATAAATTATCTTGTGCCACAATTATTTTTATGATAAAATGAAAAATGATATCATTATGAGAAGAAAGGAGAAATTTTATAAGCTTTCTTAAAACTGTGGAATTGGCAGATGCAGATCGAAGCGAATCCTTTCATCGATTTACATTGGGCAAGTCGTGTGAGATTATGTCGGTGTCGCTTATATAAGAAAAACTCACTTGTTCATGGGTTTCTAACGAAATATCTTCGGTGAAGTGTATCCATACATATAATCCGTAGGGTCAATGACACGAAAGTCAAGTGGCCCCAAACTACACTCGAATTACGTAAGATTCACATCGTTGGTCGCGGAGACTGGGACGTACTTATGTACATTATTTATAATAATAAAGGTGTGCAGTTATTTCCTCTGCATAATCACGAGCTAGGGTGTGAAAATTGACGTTAAACGTTTCTAACCACATGTCACTCTCGATAAATCTTCCTTTCGTCTATATTAATTAAGAAGAATATATTTTTAATTACAGAATTATTGAAATCTTATTATAATGCATTATTTCCAAAAATTTATTTAATATTGTGACATTGTGAAAATTTTCCATTTTACTACTTTTAAAATTATATTAAAAAATAAACCGTTTCTTTTTAAAAATTGAAATTAATTGAGAAATTATCAACATCCTTTCACCTTAATAATCTTAGGAAAATTCGAAATTTGAAACACTTAAATAATTAAAACAATAATTTTGTGTTCAATTTTCAATTATTGTAAATTTTTACGAATTAACACTATTAAAGACTCAAAATTCCATAGATAAATAAGAAAAATTTAATATTTGTTGTTTTTATCATATTTGAATTTTCGCATCTATTAATTTGGACCAATCAACATCCAGATATATAAGAAAACTTTTTTACCGACCGTCGAATTCTTTTTATGTTGCCAAAATCGGCTTTGCTATGCTAGTAATGATAAAAAAATTTCCACAAAAATATATTTTCACAATAAAAAATTGCTAACTTTCTAACAATAAGAGGGTTAACTATTTACAATAGCATTCCCTGAAATTACGGCATCTTGACTCAAACCGTTTGAAAATAATTAAGTTAAATATTTATTATGATACACACAAAATAACCTGGATTTAAAAAAACAATTTCTTGATTGTTTTAAGATTTATTACGCATAATTTATAAAAAATATTTTATATAAATTTTTTCATATGATATTTTTAGTTTAACAAGACGACGGCCAATCAATTGTAAGGTAAAAAACCATTTATCCTATTACCTTATATTTTGTAAATAACATTGCGCGTAAAATAATATTTTATAAATTTTCATGCCTTTGTACGTCCTGATCTTGGTGTGAATATTAGATGATGAGGCTTAGGAGAAAGAGTTATTCCGCAATCTCCCTCTGTATCAGGCAAAATATCTGCAGGAGTAGATAAGGTAAATGATTGAAGGATGTGAGCGGTAAAGAATAGTAATATCATTCTGGCAAGTTCGTCACCCACGCACATTCGTTTACCTAAAAATGAAATAATAATAATAATATTATTACTTTGATTAACGTTAAAAATAACACAGTATGATAAAATTTTTATTTTTCAGATCGTTTATTGTGATCTATACATGTTTTTTTATCATAAACACGAATCCGTAAATAAAAAATACTATACCATTTTAGGTTCTCACGAAATTTGACCTTACTAATTGAAATTTCGGTATAAACATTTTTGTAATTATTCAACATATTGTCACGTCACCTAAACGTTTGTTAACCCTTTAACGAACAAATGTGCTGATTTTTAACTTCGAATTCAAGCTGTTACTATTAAAAGAAAAAAATTATCAAAAATTCAAGAAGTACATTTCCTCATGTTTTTGGGGTCGCTCTTTCGAATGGCATAGTCCAAATTTTCAAAAAGTGAAATTTAACCCTCATTTTTTAAAAATACTCAAAAATACAAGATTTTTACATGTTATTTTTTTTCAGTTGTAATTTTAATTGTGATATCAATTTTTCCTTGCCATCTAAGGTGTCAAAAACGTGTTCCCGATAGTTGTACTTTAAAAATATGCTTTGTGTTTTTGGATTTTTTGTTTTTTTCCAATTCAAAATGGCGCCTGAAAGCAAAAATTTTTTCCAAATTTAACATAGGATGGATAAAATTTTTAAATCTTCTTGAATTCGCTTGAAACTTGTTACTCGGGGGTTTTTGGGGTCACTGATTACGAATCTAAAGTCAGATTTTCAAAACTCAAAATGGCGGATCCAATATGGCGGATATAAAAATAAAATTTGATCGTATTGACTTGAAAATTGTTACCCGGGGGTTTTTGGGTCGCTGATTATGAACCTGAAGTCAGATTTTCAAAATTCAAAATGGCGGATCCAATATGGCGGTCGTATAAATAAAATTTGATCGTATTGACTTGAAATTTGTTACTCGGGGGTTTTGGGGTCGCTGATTATAAATCTGAAGTCAGATTTCCAAAATTCAAAATGGCAGATCCAATATGGCGGACATGAAAATAAAACTTGATCGTATTGACTTGAAACTTGTTACTCGGAGGTTTTTGGGGTCGCTGATGAAGAATCTGTAGTTAGATTTTCAAAATTCAAAATGGCGGATCCGATATGGCGGACATAAAAATAAAAAAATAAAATAAAACAAGTTTCAAGCGAATTCAAGAAGTTTTAAAAATTTTATTTATTCTTTGTTAAATTTAAAAAAAATTGCTTTCAGGCGCTATTTTAAATTAAAAACATAAAAAATCCGAAAACATAAAGCATATTTTTAAAGTACAACTATCGGGAACACGTTTTTGATACCTTAGATGACAAGGAAAAATTGGTATCACAATTAAAATTGCCACTGAAAAAAAATAACATGTAAAAATCTTGTATTTTTGGAGTATTTTTAAAAAATAAGGGTTAAATGTCACTTTTTGAAAATTAAGACTATGCCATTCGAAAGAGCGACCCCAAAAACATGAGGAAATGTACTTCTAGAATGTTTGATCACTTTTTTCTTTTAATAGTAACAGCTTGAATTCGAAGTTAAAAATCAGTACATCTGGTCGTTAAAGGATTAGACCTTGCAGTTGCAGTTTTGTAACAAAGCTCCTTTTTTCTTGACTTTGTTTTTTTCAAATCAATAATACAGTCGCGACAATAGTCTGACTTCCTAACAAGTTCAGTATTAATAAAAGTATATCAAACGAGGAGGAAAAATATGTATAAAGAAGATTATTCCTTTTTTCTTTTCACGCCTTTGACAAAAATAATAGATTATGTTCCCTGTTGAAAATTCCTATGTGAGAACACATATGGGATCCCATCCAGGATCTCTTGTGAGTTCTTATGTGGGTTCCCGTACAGGTTCACACATAAGATCCTGTATGAAAAGGTTCCTGGGATGAACTTGCGTGAGATCAAGCGCACGATCTTATCCCTGTTGAAAATTCCTATGTGAGAACACATATGGGATCCCATCCAGGATCTCTTGTGAGTTCTTATGTGGGTTCCCATACAGGTTCACACATAAGATCCTGTATGAAAAGGTTCCTGGGATGAACTTGCGTGAGATCAAGCGCACGATCTTATGTCTCTGTAAAAGCAATAACACAGGATCCCATGAGGTTTCCTGTGTAGGTTCCTATATGAACAACACGATAAATAGGAACACACATGGGATCTTATCCGAGATCTTGTATGAGTTCTTACATAGGTTCTCACATATAAGAAGATTAATAGCAGCTTAATAAGATTTTATAGAATGCTTTTATATATATGCTATTAATCTTCTTATATGTGAGAACCTATGTAAGAACTCATACAAGATCTCGGATAAGATCCCATGTGTGTTCCTATTTATCGTGTTGTTCATATAGGAACCTACACAGGAAACCTCATGGGATCCTGTGTTATTGCTTTTACAGAGACATAAGATCGTGCGCTTGATCTCACGCAAGTTCATCCCAGGAACCTTTTCATACAGGATCTTATGTGTGAACCTGTATGGGAACCCACATAAGAACTCACAAGAGATCCTGGATGGGATCCCATATGTGTTCTCACATAGGAATTTTCAACAGGGATGTCTCTGTAAAAGCAATAACACAGGATCCCATGAGGTTTCCTGTGTAGGTTCCTATATGAACAACACGATAAATAGGAACACACATGGGATCTTATCCGAGATCTTGTATGAGTTCTTACATAGGTTCTCACATATAAGAAGATTAATAGCATATATATAAAAGCATTCTATAAAATCTTATTAAGCTGCTATTAATCTTCTTATATGTGAGAAACTATGTAAGAACTCATACAAGATCTCGGATAAGATCCCATGTGTGTTCCTATTTATCGTGTTGTTCATATAGGAACCTACACAGGAAACCTCATGGGATCCTGTGTTATTGCTTTTACAGAGACATAAGATCGTGCGCTTGATCTCACGCAAGTTCATCCCAGGAACCTTTTCATACAGGATCTTATGTGTGAACCTGTATGGGAACCCACATAAGAACTCACAAGAGATCCTGGATGGGATCCCATATGTGTTCTCACATAGGAATTTTCAACAGGGTTAACCCTAAGATTGAAATCAAATTTAGATAAGATCAGATATTATATAATTGCGGAGCATTGTTCCTCCTACACCAAACATGGGTTTTCTCCGAATTTAGAGAGTAAAATCTGTCAGACCGCTTTTTGTATATTGTTCAGTAGAGAGTTTTTTCCTATAATTCGTATTTATCACTTCGATTCTTTACACTTCAAAAGGAAGTCACCCTAATTTACAACGATCAGATGATGTCTTGTTTATCGAGAGGGTGGAAAAACAACCCACTCTTTGTGAAAATTGTGTATAAAAGGACCACATATGCCAGGAGAGTTCAGTTCAGATTTTGACACCAGCACGTCAAATCCATATACGAAATTTTGTAGTATTACTGTTACTTTGTTCAATTTTATACTCAAGTTGAACTTAGAAGAATTTCTCTGTCATATGTTAAAAGGTTTCTAGATCAAGAAGAACTCATCCAAGGATTTGACTTTGCCCTAAGATTTGGAAACCATCTTTTCTTCCTTTTCTGGAAGAATTACATTGTTTGGGTCACGGTCAACTGAAATCCGGACCTGTGATCATCACCAGGGCCCGTCAACCTTCTTGTAAGCTTATAAGCGACATATTTTCTTTAACATGAAGTAGATTAGCAAAATAGATTTCAGCCAATCGAGCAATTGTGAAATCCCCTGCAATCGCTTGATTAGCTGAAATCTATTCTGCTAATCTGCTCCATGTGACTACCCTAACTCATTGAATCCTAAATATTTTTAAATGCTTAAAAGAGGAGATTTTTAAAAAAGATATAGCGTACTGTGTAATTATATGTTAACTTACCACTTTGAAAAGGTAGGAAAGCTTCTGGTTTTGCAAGGCTACCGTCTTCAGCTAAAAATCTTTCTGGTTTAAATTTTTCAGGCTCCGACCAAAATCGTGAATCCATGTGTACTGCCCACTGCAATGGAATTATCATACTTCCTTTCGGTATATCATATCCACAAATTTTTGAATCCTAAAACATTTTTTTAAATGGTGTATTGGAATCAGCAAGTAGTAAGGTAAGAAAAGGAGGATTGTCACGCATGTTGTTTTTGCTTTTAAACTTCTTAATGTTGCATGTATTGGATAACACAGCCCCACAAAAAAATGTCCTACACGGCGGACTAGACTAGTTGTTCGCTATGTATTTTGACGCGATGAACACGAATCCGAAGTCCGTTTTGCTCCATTACGTCAGGATTTTTTTCTAACCTTAAAAAACATTTCGGATTTTGAGAGGTAGGCTATTTTTCTTAAAAATTGATGGATTTACTTCAAACTTGGTATCTAGGGGTTTTTTGGGTCGCTGGTTACGAATCTGAAGTAAGATTTTCAAAATTCAAAATGGCGACTCCAATATGGCGGACGAATTTTGAAAAACTGATAGATTTACTTCAAACTTAGTATCTAGGGGTTTTTTAGGTCGCTGATTACGAATATATAGTCAGATTTTCACATTTTTAACCCCCAGGCTACTCCGAAATGTTCTTTGGTAGACTGTTGTGCAGCCTGAACTGTAACTTTTTTGTTTTGGCATGAACCAGTTTACTATTCTCAAGAACTGACAGTTAGGTATCATTGCTTCATAGAAATTAATTTGTCAAATCCACAAAACTTTTTTTATTGAGGTAATAGTGTGACAATAAGATGTAAAAGTTTAATGGTAAATTTTTAAGCAACGAGATACAAAGGAACATTAATATCCTCTATCCTACTCTATCTCATTCCTTAAAAATATATTCTTTACTTTATACGATTTGCACTTTCATTGTGTTTCGGCACAATACTAATCCTGCTACTTCGATAAATGTAGTACGAGATGACAACTGCCCCGAAAGGGTATGTGTAGAATGATTCGCTTCCTGTTTATCGAAGTAACGAAGCCAGCGTAGGCCTGCTGCCATGCAGGGGGACGTTAGGGAGTAGAAAAGAGAAACCCGCATGGCTTAGTTTTAAAGCAGTTGTCGCAAATTTTCTGTGTAATCACAAGAGTGAAAATTGGGAGCAAATAGTTAGTGATATGATTAAATACTTTGGTAAGTTAGGATGCTTAATGAGTATGATGTTGCATTACATAGACTCGCATCGGAATGACTTTCCTGAAAATTTAGGAGATTACAGTGAAGAGCAAGGAGAACGATTCCATCAAAATCTTAAAGAATTTGAACGTCCTTATTAGATGGGATGTAAATATAATAATCGACTACTGTTAGATGCTCAAAAGGAATATTGTACCTGGAGGGACCAATTTGAAACGAAAACCATTACACAGATCCTTTGAGGACAAAAGAGTGCGCTACCATAAAAAGACGTGAATACGTAGAGTAGAACGGGGCGAGGCAGCCAAGACGGCACATTTTGTTCTGCGAGTGAACTACCATAAGCACTCTACATTATCGACGGAGCGCGATTTAAAAAAGGGATGTAGAAATCAGAAACAATTGGATGTCTCACTACGTTCTACTCTATATGAGAATTTTCATTTTGAATTTTGAAAATCTAACTTCAGATTCGTAATCAGCGACCCAAAAAACCTCTAGATACTAAGATTCATTAAAATCCATCAATTTTTAAAATTTTCTTCCGCCTTTTTGCGGATCAGCCATTTTGAATTTTGAAAATCTAACTTCATATTCGTAACCAGCGACCTAAAAAATCCCTAGATACCAAGTTTAAAGTAAATCCATCAATTTTTAAAAAAAACCTACCTCTCAAAATCCGAAAGGTTTTTTAAGGTAAGAAAAAAATCCTGACGTAATGGAGCAAAACGGACTTCGGATTCGTGTTTAGCGCATCAAAATACATAGCGAACAACTAGTCTAGTCCGCCGCGTACAACACTTTTTTTGTAGGGCTGTGTAATTGACGGTATCATTTCAAAGCTGGTAGCATATTGAATAATTTTGCTTTAAAAATTTTTGACCTCCACTAAAAATAAATAATTTATAAGTGAATTTCTAATAGTTTTTATTAATTGTAGTATTGATATTTGAGGAATTAAATTTTATAAATTTTTTAAGTTATTAGGCCAAATATTTTCTCTTAATAAAAGTTATTTCAATTTATTTTCTATAACGACGTTTCTGATAGTTTTTTTTATAAAAATTTTTGTTTTATGGATGACCCTTAACTGTTTTTTAAATTTACAATACAAACTTTTATTGATCCATGAGGAAACCCTAAGGGAACAATAGATCTTATACGTTGAGTTTCTGCAATTGCTGCTTCAAGTCTCGGTAAACTGGAGCTATCATTAAGGGTAAGTCTTCGATCACCTATAACGGCGTCTAATTCTTTTTGAATTTCTTCCTTTAAAAAAAATTATAAAATTAATGCTAAGAAAATCCAATGTGGAATTTCCAATAAATTTTATTCATAAATAGTAACCTGTTCTTTAAAATGAAGTGCTATAAACAGAAGAAACCAACGTAAAGTCGTTAGAGTTGTATCAACTCCGGCTCCATACATGTCAGCTAAAAGATAATATATTTGAGGGTCTGCAAAAGATGAGATCTCACTAGTCATCATTCGTTTTTTCATTTCAGATGTAAAAGCTGCCAAAAAATGATCTAAAGTAGTTGGATCCTTTTCATGCTTTTCTATCAATTTTTGGTATATTCTATGAGTTTCCTTTTGTCCATCTGTGACGAATTTCATCATATTCTTGTATCGAGGAAGATGCCTGTTATTATACTTGATATTACTATTATTATTATTATTATTGTTACTATTATTAATAGAATGAAACCTGACTAATCTGAACTCCAAGAAAAATGCTAAAAATTGAGATGTTATGAGTTTTTAACTTAACAGAAAGTAACACTGTTAACCGAAAAAAAATTTTATTTTCTGAATTAATACTTTAAAGGGTATAAAATATATTCAAATTTCAATTATACAAGACCGTTTCTTCTCAGAATACGGGATGAAACTTTAGATAAAATCTTATCGTTTAGACTAATTTGTTTATTGGATACGATGGGTAAACTTCCAGAGGGAATGATTCTGGAAAGACTTCAGAAAATCTTCGTAGGCAAAAATAGCGTATCTGAAGACATTATGGTACCCACGATTTAAGCGGTTGTTGAAAAGGCAAAAAAGTCAAAGTTGGTAAAAAGAAAGGATTCAGTGCGCTTGTGGCCATCGACATACGAAACGCGATTAATTACGCGAGATGGGATATTTATATCGGGTCAATGAAACGTAAATGGGAACCAACCTATCTGTTTCGGATGATAGACAACTATCTTAACCACAGATGGATTGTTTACGAGATCAATACGTGTTATATCAAAGAAGAAATTATATGCGGAGCTCCCGAAGGTTTAAAGGTTGTATATCCATATTGATCAACACGGTCTGTCCCTGTATAGGCCTAAGCACAATAGAAACGTAACCGGAATCGCAATCGGAAGAATTAGTAAGAGAAGAACAACAATATATGACTATCTTTCTCTAACTCATTCTTCCGTTTACGATTGCGATTACGTTTTTATTCTGCTGAGGTCTTATAACTCTCAACTTTGTCGAACCGAGACATTTTGGACGGCCTTGTCTCTGCTTAGAGAGATCAAGCACGAAGAATAGCTTCAGCCTATAGAACGATATCCACTTGCGCTATTCTGGTGCTTATGAACTAACCACCAACGAAAAGTAAGCAAGTCTTTCAGCTTAATAAAAACAGGTAATAGTCATTGCAAGATTTCATTAATGTCTAAATTTTTGTACATCTGCTATTCAAGTTTCTTTCTTTATTCGGTTCGTTGAACTTGTACAGGAAAATGTTAAAGATCTTGTACAAGGAACTGTCAACGTTTAAATTTTGTTTAAAGGGAATTATTTCTTTTATTATCCCTTAATTGTCACGTGCTCGAGCTGGGTCGGAAATGCGAGTATCGATGAGTGTAAACTATGTGAAATTACTTAACGTAAAAATTAATTCTAAGAATTTAAAATCCTGACTAATCATCTAAGCGATACCAACAATTAATTAGATAGTATGAAAAATTTTTATTACAGTAAGTTTCTTACCTTAAAAATGGTAGAAAATTTAAAGGACCGGCAACACCAATATATTTAAGACCTTCTTCCTGCAATTTTTGTAACTTCATCCAGGTTTCATCGTTTTCATCGTAAGTGATTCCAAATACTAAATCATTTATGAAGTTTCCTAAACAATGATGTAGAATGTGAAATGGGTCGATTCCATCTTCTGAACATCCTTGATCCTGCAGTTTCTAAGAGTATATCGTACTAATTTTTATCACTTAACTAAATATTTAGTTTCCAATCAGTAACATTTTTAATTTATTACAGGTGAGAGGTCCAAATTTACCACATTGTCTTTTACAATGACAAATCTACCTCGAAATCTACTTATTTCAATTTATATATATGTAATAGTCATTTGTGTTACAAGACAGCATTCGAGAATGTTATCATAATTATATCATTTTGATCAAAACGGACAAAGACGACCTAATGGTTTACAGGGAGAACAAGTGTTAAATCAACGCCAGTCCCGGAACTTTGTCGGTTCATTAGTTCGATCTTCTGGAGGCAACAAGTATCTTTCTGCGTTAGTTGTTAAAAATTGGTTGAATTACACCATTTAAGAGATAAAATGACCTTAAAAACTTCTAAATAATGATTTTTAAAATATATTTTGTTTTTTCGACTATTGAACACATTTTTGGCAATTCAGCCCAATGGGATAGTCACTGAATATGATCACTCGTAGTTTATAGCATTGAGAATTTCGTAACAATATTAGCTCATTCGTACTTAGTGATTTTAACAGATCTAAGTCGGTAAGATAGAAATCTATTTACCGACGTTTTTTTGACTTTACTTGACCGTCCAATTTAAAGTGGATTGGTGTTGGGTACATTTAGGGGAAATGGGGGCAAAATGGAATAGGAAGCAAGATGGGATTAAGGAACACACATTGATGGACCAATTATGGTCATATTGCACATAACGTGGGACCAATATGACAGTTTTCAGGTGGTAAAAACATTGGACGATTATATTACGTTTTTTGTTTAAAAAAACTGTTTTCGGTGATTTTCTTCTAACATATCCATTTTGTTCAAAACGTGTTTATTTTGTAAATAACAGCATTTTATATAACATTTTTTAGTTTTGATAAGTGTCACTGACTACTTTAACAGGTAATCATTTGTTTAATTGTTTGTTGAATCATACTTTTTATTGGTTAGCTTTTTAGTGTCATTTCGCATGGGGGGAAAGGTGGGATATGGAGTTTATTTTATTATATAATTGAAAGCGTATTATTGTAAGTACAAGTGTTGAATAATGAACCGAGAAGAGCTAAACAGGAAAAGAGAGCGTATCCATAAGAAGCGGCTTCGAAACGCAATCATAGAGGAAAAGAAACTAAGAAAAACCTTTAACTTTTCTGATCCGAGTCGCAATAGAAACAACGTATGTGGACGTACTGATCAAACTTCGGAGGAAAGTGAATTCGGACGTCTATTGGATCATGGGCGCAAGCCTACAAGAAGGGGGACATCTCCTGATCAAAATCGGAGGAGGTTTTAATAAGGAGGCATTCACCGCTGTAGTCACCAAAGCTGTTGGAAGCATGGAGAAGATGCAAACTGTATATTGACAAGTCACACTAGAGATTCGTGAGCTTCATTGTCTTACCCAGGAAGAAGAGGTTCAACAGGAGTTGGCGGAAGTGCTCCAGAAGTCAGGAAGCGGGCAAGTGACAGTCCTAGGACCCACCACACGAAGAATGAAGCTCGCAGTTGTATAGTCACGGACACAGAGGAGGCGAACAGGCTGGAGAAAGTGGAGCGCATAAAGATTGGCTTTATATGTTGCTCAATAAAAAAAAGGGTGATGGTCGTTCGGTGCCACCGGTGCCTGGTGTATGGCCACATAGAAAGAGTTTGTAAGTCAGCAGTCAGATGGACTGCGTGCTTCAAGTGTGGTGAAGTCGATCATAAATTTACAAACTGCTGTAGAAGCGCAAGCTGCTTGTTATGTAGAGGAAAGTATGATGATAAGACGAACATTAGCCATATCACAGGCAGCGGAGTCTTCAACTTCACTTACGAAGTTTAAAGCTTGGCGCAGTGTGAGGATTAGTCGAGCCAAAAGGTGTGGCTTTGTGGATCGACCAGAGAAAAACGGACATCCCCACATAATATCTGAACACCTGGCTTCAGGTATCTGCCTTGGATCACGTTGAAAATCATATCGATGAACAAATTTCGCGTATGGAGTTTATCGCTAGTACCGTGGGTAACCTAACACGTATCGGAGTGTCAAAGGTGTTATCGCGCAGTATTGAAATACTTCGAATTGTCCTTGTAAAGCATGAAGTCAATTTTCTTTGACAAATGACGCGATAAAATTACTATGCGTAAATTGAATTCTCGAAAAAGCGTACATTTTACAACTCCCATATTTTCGAGAAAAATTGTTTAATATCACGCAAGAAGGTTATGTGGATACTATGCTCGATAGAATACGTAGAGATACGCGATTCTTGTCAACCCTATTGAAGATCTTATATAGGATCTCACATAAATTCATATATTAAAATCCACATTTCAGAATCTACATGAAATCCTATGTAATTTCTTATGTTCAAGTCAATTATATATATGATCCCACGTGAGGATTTTCAATGGGGATAAGATTTCATGTCAGATTTTTTCTAATAATCTTTTATTCAAGAATCGAAAAAAGATTTTATATATAATTTTATATAGTAAAATTTCTGTTTAAGGATTGAGCAATGAATTTTGATAGGTTTTTTTTATGAAAAACCACGAAGAAAATTGAAGATAAGAATTGTAGAATTTCACATAGGAATTTACATAATTTATTACCTAAGAATACGTTTATAAGAATATACATCGAATCCCACTTTAAATCATGTCTTAATTTTATATGATTTTATATAATATATTTATAATATAAATTTTTCGAGTTTTGACAGTTCTTCTTCAAAATGGCTACAATTTAAAGATCTTTCTGATTCAATGGTTTTATCAAACGTGCATTTAACACCCGTATATAAATTGCATTATCTGAAGCAGTGCCTTTATGAACCACAGTTCATCTATTAAAAAACATGATGTTGACAAATGATAACTTTCAAAAAGCATGGGATTCCTTAGTCTCATTTTATGAAAATAAACTTCCATTAGTCAATTCAGCTCTACACTCTGTAATTACCTTTTCGCCTAATTATAATTATAATTAGGCGAAAATTTCATTTAAATATTAAGGAAAGCTTCACACTAAACATTTATTTAATCGGAACATTTAAATCTTTACACAATTTTCACTAAACATTGCAATTAAATATTCCGAACAATTCAAATAAATCTTTAGGAAATCTTTAGGACAGTTTCAATGCTGTGGGGGAACAAACAAGAAAAAATTTTATTATTCAATTTATTTTGCTCGAAATTCGTCACTCGTGTTTTTTTGGTATTGCTGATTACGAATCCGGTGTTAGTATCCAAAAATTCAAACTGGCGGTCGACCTTTTTGAAAATTGATTTAATTTACTTAAAACCTCAACACTTTTGAGCTCGCTGATTACGAATCTGAAGTCCGATTAATTCTAATACTAATTGTTATTATTAAATATCTTTTTTAGGGTTCCGTACCCGAAGAGGGAACCCTATTAATGAGACTAGTGAAGCAATGCATGTACCCCCCTCCCCTAGCGGCCACATGAATTTATCTAGAGGGCTGAAATTTTGTACAAATATGTATTTTGGCGTGTAGATTACAGGAAAAATATAGCGAATCTCATAGGAATTGATTATCATAGCGTTGTCAAGGAAAAACCATGAATTTTTACGAAAAATCTCTAAAAGTGACTATGTACCCCCCCCCCTGGTGGCCACATCTTTTCATATAGAGAGCTCAAATTTGGTACATTTATGTATTTTTACGTGAAAATTACAGGAAAAATATAGCGAACATGATTCGGATCGATTTACATAGCGTTGTCAAGGAAAAATAAAAAATTTCGAAAAAAATGGTTTAATCACCCTAGCGCACACAATATTTGGCCAAGACAGTTCATATTTGGTATACATGCGTATTTTTGTGTGTAGATTACAGGAAAAATATAATGAGCACAGTTGGAGTTCATATTGTTTTTAAGGAAAACTCATATTTTTAGAAAAAATCAGGGATTTTTTGAATAAAAAAAGAAGAAAATTTTATCTTAAGGTATTCAAATTTATACATTTTTACGTATTTTTAAGTGTAGATTACAAAAAACATATAGCGAGAACGATTGGAGTTGATTATCATAGCGTTTTCAAGGAAAAACTGATAATTTTCGATAAAAATCATGAATTTTTCTCAAAAAATAAAGAAAATTTTATCTAAAGGGCTTCAAATTTATACATTTTTACGTATTTTTACGTGCAGATTACAAAAAAAGTATAGTGAGCATGATTGGGGTTGATTATCATAGCGTTTTCAAGGATAAACTGATAATTTTCGATCTATGTGTCTACGTGCACTGTCAAAATTAAACTAGAAGAATAACTAACGCTTACAAATCTATCCTATTTGTAAAAGTTTGATTCATATACAATTGACATATCAATTAATATATTTATTTACCTTTGAACTTCTATTTATATTTGTCTTCTTACTTCTGTTTATAATTTTCATTTTCATTTATTATAATTCTATTCCTTTAATACAATTTATATTTAATATTATCTTATCAATTTATTAATAATAATATTCATTACATTTTCACATTTTATATGCATAAAAAAATTATTTAACAAATCACTCATTTCAAATTTTCACATTTACCAACCAAGGCTGGTCAATGTGTACAATCACCAATTTACTTGGTAAATGTACATAATATCTTCCCCAAATGTCCGATTTCTCACTTTTACCAAAATGCCCGGTGAATGTGCACATTGACCGGTTAATGTGCACATTCACCGGACTTCGCACTTTAACCGTAACATATACATCATCTTCATAACAACTATTTCAAATTAATTAAATTTTTTTAAAAATTAAGAAAATTTTAATTAATTTCGGGTGAAACATATACTTTATATATACGAATCGATTCGCTTCAATGCAAGGAATACAATTATTTTATGTATTAACTTGAATTCAGGTAAACACAAATTTTTTCAGCTAAAATATGAATTTTTGATTTTTCAATTTTCATTAATTCATAAAATTTAAATCAAATTTA